AAGTTTTTCATTAATACTTTTTAAAAGTATCTCTTTATATATATATATATATATTTATATTTAGCTTTAATTTATATTTATTTCTGTTTTAGTACTTCTACTTATTTTATTTAGGTTGGTTTTCCATCGAATACTTACTCATTTTATATATATTTTTGTATACTTATTTTACTTCAGCTTTATTCCAATTAACAAAAAGATTTTAATAGTTAACAACAACAACACGTTCTGTGCTTACATTAAATATCATTTTCTCCATTTAAACACTTTACAAATGATCCGTCATGTAGTATATACTCCGTCATACTCAACATCAAACCCTTTCACATGTACAAACAAGCCTTTGCAATCAGACAAATTCCCTGATGATACTTAAATGGAACAATTTGAACAAATTCAGTCTTGATTGAAATCACAGCACATGCACAGATCATCTATAACACAGTCTGTTCGGATTTAGACCAAACACACACATTTACCCCAACCCTCGTGTGTTTATATAAGCCTATGCCTTCATACCCAAACAATCATGATCAGATTTATCCGGCTGGCAGATCTGAAAAACACTAATGCAACGAGACACTCAGAACATCTGGAGGCGATCCGTTTCCACCTGTACAACAGCACTGGTAGCACTACTACAAACTCTACCACTGCAGCATGTATGCGTTTACAGTCAGTTTATGTTCTGATATGCGTGTGTGTGCGTGCATATATATATATATATATATATATACATACACATATACAGTATATACATACACATATATATGTGTGTGTGTGTGTGTCTGATCTGATCTGCCATTAAAACTTACCAAACACACTAAAGAGTATAAAAAATATAGAATAGCCACGGTTCAGAGAGTATGCTGGAATCATGACTGTTGAGAGAGGAAGACATGTTGTAATGAACACAGACTACAAGAGACGTTGTAGGCCATTGTAGGACGTTTCACATTTGAAACAAATACAGATACCTGTGAACGTTGTGACAAGTCACAAGACATCATGTCATGTGGTTAATGCTAATGACTCATACCCTCTACTGCAATGAGCCAGAGATGACCGAGAATTTGACACAACAGTGCCAAAATGTCATCTGTGTCACTGACCATTTAAAACTTTACTGAGTCATTCAGAGATATGCACCTCATGAGAGACTTTAACAACATTAACAGTCAAATGAAGATGTACCGTCAGGGTTATTGGCTGTTGTTAGCAGCACTAGCAGAGAAGACAGGGACTTTGGCAGGTTTTTGAAGTAGGTTTCCCATTCTCCATTCTTCTTAGGGTCCTACGGAAACACATCTATTCAGTCAACTGTAGAAATTTTAACCTATTTTGCGCTTGACATGGCTGAGATTGCTGCTGCCAGGAGGAAGCATCGCAGAAAACAGAGCACATGGTAGAAAGTAAAGAATTTTTTCCACTCATCTTAATTTATTTGGAATGCCAGAGGAAGGCATTATCAGAACATATTGCATGCCAAGCTTTGTTATTTTTAATTTGCTCTGCTTGTTTGCAACCTTACACTAATATGTGCTGATCTTGGAAAATTGCTTTGGTTATTATAGAAATTAGATGTTGCATCTGTGTTCTTTAATTTACGCATTGTCAGTAAATCACATGCAGAACTTTCCACTCCCATCTTTAGTGAAATATTTTGGAACTGCGCTCTCGCACTAATTTGTCTTGTTTAGTAAATCTGGCCCTTAGTACATTACTAAGGGTTTCTGCAGGTTTTAAGATGGTAAATTTAAGACTATTTAAGACCGTTTTAAGAACAAGTAAAGAAGATTTAAGGAACAAACTAAAGAGAAGACAATAAGTCAATATGCTCTCTTAATGTAAATGTCTAGAGAGCACACAATGAGTTGTATTAGTAACACTTTTTTACACACACACACACACACACACAAACTTATAGCTTGAATAGCTCTCCTTCCAACCACTAGTATATGGAGAAAAAACAACAACACGTTCTGTGCTTACATTAAATATCATTTTCTCCATTTAAACACTTTACAAATGATCCGTCATGTAGTATATACTCCGTCATACTCAACATCAAACCCTTTCACATGTACAAACAAGCCTTTGCAATCAGACAAATTCCCTGATGATAATTAAATGGAACAATTTGAACAAATTCAGTCTTGATTGAAATCACAGCACATGCACAGATCATCTATAACACAGTCTGTTCGGATTTAGACCAAACACACACATTTACCCCAACCCTCGTGTGTTTATATAAGCCTATGCCTTCATACCCAAACAATCATGATCAGATTTATCCGGCTGGCAGATCTGAAAAACACTGATGCAACGAGACACTCAGAACATCTGGAGGCGATCTGTTTCCACCTGTACAACAGCACTGGTAGCACTACTACAAACTCTACCACTGCAGCATGTATGCGTTTACAGTCAGTTTATGTTCTGATATGCGTGTGTGTGCGTGCATATATATATATATATATATACAGAACCTAAGCCTGTTTTGGGACCTTTAAAATGTTATGCATTTAACTTGATGTGACATTATTGCCATAAAAATTATTATTTCCATAAATTATGCATTTAAAAATGTGACATTTCCATAAAAAGTAAGCACATTTTCTTTAGCATTAATATGATGTGTTTTACATTAAACATTACAATGAGAACCTGTTGAAAATAAAAAGGACATTGTTTTAAATATTATTCTAGATACAATTCTAGAAATGTGTGGTACCCACTTTAATCTATGCAGATTAAAATGAAAAAATCCTATAAGAAATAAAAATTACAATGAGAACCTTCTGAGAATAATTATAAAAATCCTTCAATTAATGCAATGCAAATTTTTTAAATATTTATATTGTGCAATGCATAGCATCCACTTTAATCTATGATTAAATTGATTATGATTTAATTAATTTAACAGATGAAAAAATTTCCAAAATTTATTTTTTATTTCATTAAAAAATATATAATATTTTGAAATATTATTTATAGTATTATTTATACTGTGGCAATGTATAGTACCCACTTTAATTTATGCAGAATTAATAAACCAAATTCAAATACAATTTTTTAAAAAATATTTAAATTAAAATATTTATAATATTATTTATACTGTGGCAAAGTGTAATAAAAATTTTATTTCATTTTAAGATAATATTTTGACATTTTGTTTAAATTATTTTATGGCTATGTGTTGCACCCTCTTAAATCTATGCAGAAAAAAAAGTTTCAACCTGTATGTTACGATTGGCAGCACTAAAACACATTTGATCAGATATCATGGACCACAATGCCGCCATATGTTAAGGCCTTAAAGGTCAAAGCTGCACGAGTTTTAGAGCTGTGATTGGTACCTCTTGGGAATGTGCTGTCCGGCCCAGGTGATGCTGACTGTGTATTTGCCAGGTGTGTGTGGATGGTATTCATAAGAGTAAACGCCTTCTGAAGTGTCCTTCTGTTTCACAGGCTCCTCTAGACCTTCTGCAAGAGAGGAAAAAACCATGAAAAACTTCAACTATTCAATCACAAACCATTAGAGAAGAATGGCACGAATAAAATGCAGAATTAAAGATGCATTTTCCCCATTTTCTCCCAAAGCATTTTCTTTCCTATGAATCTGAGGATTATGAAGATGAATAGCAGTCATGTACAGGATCACGTCTGCTCAAATTCCACAGAGATACACTTGTGTCCTGTAAGTTATAGTGGGCTCAGTGAAGCATCTGTGACCCGGTCGGGTCATTAATCACAGTCAGTGGAGCTGATGGAAACTGATGCATGTAGATGATTCATCTGGGCACCAGAGTCTGGGAAACCATCCCTGCTCACTCCAAATACTCAATCAAAATGAAAAAGGAGTCTTTAACAGGAGGGGATGATAGTGTGTTTGTTGTTTGGTCACTTACTGGGTCCTTTAACAGTGACCTTCAGATCACCACTACCAGCGTTACGGGTGTCCACCTTAAAATCAGCCACCTGACGCACTCTCACCCCTCTGGGCTGCAGACCTCGACCGGTGGCACGGCACGCACCGGGAACAGACGCTGAAACACACAAACACACAATACATGATAAGCCGTTGTAGTAGTAGTATATACTGTATTTAATGTCATGCCAGCATCTGAGGCGATCTTCATGGAAAAAACTGTTACAAACAATACAAGTTGCATAAATACTAGGGATGCACCGATACTGGTATCAGGCCCGATACTGAGCTCCTGCACTCGTACTCGTTAAAATGCCCCGATATCAAAGGCCGATACCACACAGCATGTGTTAAGCGCCATATTCAGACAAAGAAACACCGACAACAGAACAACAGACAGCAGAATGGAGTTAAGGATGTCTACTACGAAGTATATGTATGCAATGAATAGAACGTTAAACATTCAGTATTAACACCTGTATAGCTGATGTGCGCAAGCTGATAAGCAAAGCACGCTGAGTGGATTGAGCGCCCCAATATTTAAAAAATTTACAAATGCAATAAAAAATATTGGTATCGGTACTCGGTATCGGCAAGCACCAAAAATAAAAGTATTGTATCGGGCGAGCACTGGAAAAAGTGGTATCGGTGCATCCCTAATAAATACAATAAAAATTAAAAACGAAAAATTTTACACATGAAAAAAAAATTTCTGGTAAAATCTTACTAAACAAGTCCTTAAGTGAGCTTACTACATAAAAATGTTGTCTATATGCTTTAAAAGCGGGACACCCCAATAAACAATATCTATTAAATGTGCAAAAGCATTTAAAATCTATAAATTATAAAACATTTCTGCATATTTAATAAGTAAATTAATATGAAAATAAGTTTAATTTTACTATAAATGTTTATATATTTAACAAAAACATAATATTTTTATATATTATGAGTATAGAATATAGTACATTCTATAAAAGAAAGAATTTTCCATATTTAATAAATAAATATGCAAGTAATTTTACTATTACTTTTTATAATACAAATTATGTTTTTCTATATGTAAATGTATATGAGAATATATTACATGTACCATAAAATAATTAATAAATAATTTTTTTGCATATTTAATAAATAAAATATGCAAATAAATATAATTTTACTATCTATAATAAAATATAAATGTAATACGAGTACAGAATACTGTACATATAATTAAAAAAATTAAATGTTTAATTTGCATGTTAAATATATATTTTTACTACAAATTTTTATATTTGCAACGAAAACATTACATTATGTATTTATAATATATAAATATGAGTATGGAATAAAGTACACACAACAAAAATAATATATTTGCATATTAAATATTTTACTATTTTAATATTTGTAATAAAAGTATTACATTATATTTATTTACAATCTATAAATATGAGAATAGAATATAGTACATATACTATAAAATAATTAAATATTTATTTGTATATTTAAATATAAATGTATATACAAACGTACATATACACACTTTCTTTTATAGTGCATGTACTATATTTTGTACTTGTATAGGATAGTTATACACATTTTATTTGTATATAAGGTATATGCAAACAAACATGTTAATTTAATATATTTATAGTTTGTTTTATGATACATAAAACTTATAGATACAAAAATGTATCTTTCTTTATTTGCATAATTTGATAATTAAATAATGTGGGTAGAGAAAATCAACAACTTGGCATCTCTGTCAGCCAATCAGAATTACAAATTCAAATCTGATGTAGTATAATGAGCTTCTATCATCCAAAACTCTAAAACCCCTCCCTCGAACGTCTGCACAGCCGGCAAATATAATGAACAATCCCTCCGCGTAATAGCACACACTCCAATATTACCCTACCATTATACAGTATGGAGTCCTGTAATGTTTCCAGAGCACCAGAACAGCGTCCACAGACAGTGAGCCAAAACCCACATTGAGTGTAATAGCATCTCTGACAGAGAGAGACTCCGTGAGGTCTCATTAGGTTCAGATGAGTGCCACTGAGACACAGAGCTTCATTCAGCCCGTCTGACTCACTAATATAGACGTACAGTATAATGAGGATGATGATGATGATGTTTCAAACCAAAACTGTGAGGAGCACAAACCTTTGGAAGAACTGTTTGCTTCCATAAAAACACTGCAGAGGATAGACATCTACTTTAATGCACTTTAAGAACTTTTAAATCTACTTCCAGCCTTCTCGATCTTTATTCATAGTAGAGTTTTTAGGATTAGGAAATATCAAGAGCCAAATCTGAACTTTACCACAGTTTTGGGTGTTATTTTTAAAGCACATAATGGATGTTTTGGATAAATGCTTGCGAGATGTCCTGAAATAACATCTTGCGCTGTAAAATGCATAATACTTAAGCCATTTTCCTGTGGGTCAAAAATAAATAAAAGAATAAAAAATAAAAATAAAAGTATATAATATAGTACATATAGTGAAAAAGATCGAATACAATGTTATTTAAATAATTAATAAATATGCAAATAAATGTAATTCTGTTGCATTTTATATTTTTAATAATACTATTACACTTTTACATAATGTATAACTGTATATAATGAGAATAAATAGTACATATACCATAAAATATCAAATTTATTTGCATATTCAATAAATAAAATATTCACTATTAATGTTTATATTGATACTAAAAATATAGCATTTTTATACGTATATATAAATGTATGTGTACACACTATAAAAAGTATATAGTGATATTATATAAATGAATATAGTACACACTATAAAAAAAAGAACATTTATAAAAAAATATTCAATATGCAAATGTAATTTTACTATTAATCATTATATTTGTAATAAACTATTCAATGGTTTATAATTATATACATGTATATAACACGAGTATGCAATATAGTACATATACCATAAAAGAACGAGTTAAATATTTATTTGCATATTTAAAATTTTTTTTTATTATATATACATACATACATACATACATACATACATACATACATACATACATACATACATACATACATACATACATACATACCACACACGCACATATATACACACACACGCACATATATACACACACACGCACATACATACACACACACGCACACACATACACACACACACATACACATACACACACACACACACACACACACATATACACACACACATATATATACACACACACACACACACACACATACACACACACACACATATACACACACACACATATACACACACACACACACACATATATACACACACACACACACACATACATACACACACACATACATATACACACACATACATATACACTCACATACATATACACACACACACACGAATTTCTGTCATTATTCATAGAGTTTTTAGGAAAAGTAAATTCCAAATTTTAACTTTTAACTTTGCCACCAATGATTCAACATTTCTTGTGGCATTTTTAAAGCACATAATGGATCTATGAAGCTCTTTAATTTGCTTGTGAAATGTCCTGAAATAACATTTTGAGCTGTAAAAGTCAAGCTATCTGTTCGAATACATAAACCGTTTGTTTTCCTGTGGGTCTCGTTTAGTTTTACGGCCCATGTGGCTGATTTCCTTGTTCAACAGCTCCCGAGGTCACGCTCATCCAAACCTGCCCACCACAAACACTTTCAAACCCAAAATCATCAACGGCATCCTACGGGAACACCACAAAACCACACAATCATGAATTATTGTTGTTCAGTATCCCACTGAACAACAATAAAAAAAGAAAAGTAACTTTTTTATAGGGCTGCACGGTTTTGTTAAAATGCAGTTTAAAAAAAAACTCCAGGTTTGTGGTGCTTGCACAATTTGGCCAAAAATGTTGTGGAAAATTATTAAAGTCATTTTGATGCATAATAAATAATCATCATCCTCATCATCAAAATAACTATAATAATAATTTAAAAAAAAAAGTTTTAAAAATCTTTGAGATGAACAAACAGCATAATCATGCAATCGTCACAGGATTCAACAATGCTCTCACTGTTCAGTTTTGAACAGTAAAATTCAACCAATTGCAAAAACAAGCCTGTTGAATCAGCAGCATGATAACGTTTAACTACACGGGAAAATCAATTAAAGTCAACTTCTGTTAAAACAGAATTGCTGCACATTTGGAAAAGCTGTTTCAGACAAAAGGAATTTGGTGTTTTACAAGGTTTAAAAATGCTCCGTGACGCACAGATCCACTAGTCCACAGCGAAGCACGCAGAGAACAGACACAATCTACAGCAGGAACCAGGGTTATCGGACTTCAGGTAACAACAACAAAACCGCATTTAACAACCCCATTTCTTTACTCAGAATAAAATAAAACTTCACTGAAATAAATAAATATATAAACAAAAAAATATAGAAATAACTATATATAACATTTCTCATTTTTGTTTAATGTGACTTGATGTATTACTAAAACAAATAAAAAAATAATAAAACAAAAATGACAAACTCACAAAATTACTAAAACTTAGAAAACCAAAAATACAAATATAAATAATATAAAAATAAAATGTAAACTAATTCAAAATATTAATAAAAAAATAAAAGAATGGTATTCGAATAACACTAGCCAAGACTGAACAGAAATTCATTTCATTTGTTGCCTAATAAATCTCATCTAAAACAACAACAAAAGTCACAAAAGTGCATTAAAACCCTAATATTTGAATGTGAGCTTGTCCATCAAAATTACAAGCATTGAACACAAACACCAATCTAAAAATATTACATTTTATATAATAGATAAGTGTATACTATGTGAATATATTACATATACCATCAAATAATTAATAAAATATTTGCTAATTTAATAAATAATATATGCAAATAAACGTAATTTTACTATTCATTTTATATAATAAAAATTACATTGCAATATATTTATAAATATATAAATGTATATAATATGAGTATAGTACATGCACTATAAAAATAATAATAATTTTTATTTGCATTTTAAATAAATATGCAAATGTAATTTCACTACTAATTTTTATATGTTTTAAGTATATATATATATGCACAGTCAGACCTGCGGTGTAGATGTCGAAGAAGGTGGGTTTGTTGGCGATGTTGCCTAGCGGCTCCAGTCCGGGTCCTTTAGCCGTGACTTTAGTGGCGTCTCCCTGGGCTTTGTCCACGTTCACCTCAAACGGGCTCTTTGGGATTTGCTGTCCAGCGAAAAGCACAGTGACCTGTGAATTGAACATAAAACATCATGAGCCTATTTTTCACATAAAGTCGTTCTGTTTGTGTATACATAATAAAATGAGTGTTTTTATACAAACACACACATATATGACTATCATATAACAACTAGGGGGCCTCAAGGTGACGTAAAATGATTTAAAGTAATACAAAAAACAACAATTAAAATTTTTTTTAAAAAAGCCAAAACAACTTTTAATTCATCCACAACAGTTCTTGATTTCTTTGCAGGACAAGGATTCCCAGTCTAGAAACCTTGCATGTATTTAAAATTGAGATTTTTAGACCTGGAAAAGACTTGTAAATTAATTAAATCTTTAAAAAAAATAAAAAAATAAAAATAAATAAATGCAATTACGTTATATATGTATAATATATGAATAAGAATAAAAAAAATATTTGCATATTAAATATGCAAAAGTAATTTCACAGTTTTTTTATATTTGTAATAAAAATGACATTATATATATTTATAATATATAAATGTAAGATAACATTCAACACCTCCTATATAACTGCATGTTAGTAATGAAGAAAAACAGACTGGATGCATTGAGGAGGAGCCCAAACTACACATCGTCGACATAGTTATGATCCGTGATATTGGCACAGATTCTGTGTAATAAAAAATTCTTTGTGACTGTATATAGTTCTCAAGTTGGAAAAGACATTTAGTTCCCACTTTAAGTGAACCTTAGTTCCCAAGACATCTACAAGATGGATTAAAATGCTGATGCTGTAAAAGGAGGGGAGACAAACACATGACAGTGACTTTAAGTGTTAAAAAATAAATAAATAAATGAAACGCGTTTATTCTGTGGCACTTAAAATAATTTGGCACCTGTTTTTGATTTTTATAGGAGCCAATGGCTGCTTTAAGTGATTCTGATATTGCTGTGAATAACAGGGGGCCTTCGAGTCGAAAAGACTGAAAAGCACAGCAGTAGACTGACGTTCATCCTGACCTTGTGCGGTCCCATGACCTGAGGGATGTACGTCACGCTGTAGGTCTTTTTGCCTTCATTGAGCACAGGTTTGACCTCCTCTCTGCGGCCCTCTGGGTCTTCAACATAGACAGTGACCTGGCCTTGACCCGCGCTGAAGGTGTCCACCGTGAACACAGCCGGACGCATCACCCGGTTCCCGGTCGGCTCGATGCCTGGCAGCACACAGACAACAAACAACCCAGAAAATCATTCAGGACTTCAAGTTCATTTCAGCTAACAAGACGCGGATTTCCATTTTAATTACAGCACTAAACGGATCCGACAGAGCTGTTAAAACAAAAATCACATGCTTCAACAGTCCATTTCCTTCACACTATGCCATTAAAATCCACAGCAGACTCACAAAACACTCAATGTAAAATATATATGTACGTTTTGATTTCATAAGCATCTAGTATAAAAATAAAAATAGAGATTCACACAAAAAACCCACTAAACTGACAACTTCAGTCAGACCTCTAAAATGTACATCTTCCTTCTAAAATAATTTTTGTAAATCATTTTAAGATATTAATTTATAATTGTAAATAAAGTGTACATGCACGTATATGTAAAGGTTTATAAATATGCATCAAAATAAATGCATTTTCATTTTATTTATTCTCATATTTGTAGATTTTATTACGGTATGCACACCAACTTCCTCACTGCTTGATTCCAAATTTATTCTAAATAAATACATACATTTATTAACAATATTTATTTATTTAAACAACAATAAGTACATCTAAACATATTTCAATACATTTTACATATTGTTTTGTTCCTGTTTTGCGGTTTAAATTAGTTTAGCATTTAAATTGAAATCTTTTCCCCATTTGTACTCTTTCAGCCCTGAAGGCCTGTGGGCTGAAACATAAAAAGCCATAATAAATAAAAAGCCCTCATGAATGTATGATGTGGATTTCATTCATGAATCCCCTACTTGTGCACATTAAATGTTGCATAATTTATGCGTACAAAGAAACACAAACATTAGATATAATCCGATGTTGGTTAGAAAGCACAGTGGTCGACACAAACCTGCAAACGGAATGGTCTAAAAATACTTTAGTTTATAGTTTGAGGCAAACCGCACAAAACCGCAAACACACAATCCCTCTGAGCTCATAAAACACGTTATTTCCCAACACTGATTCAATTTGCCACTGAAAACTAAAGTCCTCTACAGGGAGCACACGGATTTAGGAAACAAGGGCGACTGTTGCGTTTTAAAGTAGTTGTTTAAGTTGTAGTGCTTTCAGAGGCAACAATCACTTAATGGAAAAATACCATTGATGTGACATTTTCATTATTTGTCGTAAATTATATGATCATTCAAAAACAGAGGTGAAAATTTCCCAAGACTGATGAGGCTGCAAACAAAACCTTGTAGTTCATTTTAGTAAATTTAGGTCACAGAAAATGTGTAGCGGTCACCTTTAGTGTGAGAATCATAAGTCTTAAACTCATTAGCCACTGGCTTTATAGCTTTAGTCAAATTTACAACAGGTAAGAGGCACACTTTCACTCCATCCATCAGTTCTGAACATAACAGGACATTCACACGGTACTAAACTTACACTACCGGTCAAACGTTTGAACGATTTTTTTATCGTTCTTGAAAACTTATTTGGTCAAAAATACAGTAAAAACTGTGAAATATTATTACAATTTAAAATAACAGGTTTTTGTTGTAATATATTTTGAAATGTAATTTATTCCTGTGATGCAATGCTGAATTTTCAGCATCATTACTCCAGTCCTTCAGAAATCATTCTAATATGCTGATTTGCTGCTCAAGAAACATTTCTGATTATCATCAATGTTGAAAACAGTTAAGCTGCTTCATATTTTTGTGGAAACTGTGATACACTACCATTCAAACAACTGAGGTAGAATTCAAAAATTAATAATAATAATACTTATTTAGCAAGGATGCATTAAAATTGCTCTTTTGAACTTTCTATTCAAAGAACCCTAATCTTCACAAAAACATTAATCAGCAAAAACGGTTTAATAATAATAACCAATAACAACTTAGCAGCAAATCAGCATATTAGAATGATTTCTGAAGGATCATGTGACACTGAAGACTGGAGTAATGATGCTGAAAATTCAGATTTGATCACAGAAATAAATTACATTTTAAAATATACTCCAGTCCTTCAGAAATCATTCTAATATGCTGATTTGCTGCTCAAGAAACATTTCTGATTATCATCAATGTTGAAACCAGTTGTGCTGCTTCATATTTTTGTGGAAACTGTGATACACTACCATTCAAACAACTGAGGTAGAATTAAAAAAATTATAATAATAATACTTATTTAACAAGGATGCATTAAATTGCTCTTTTGAACTTTCTATTCAAAGAACCCTAATCTTCACAAAAACGGTTTAATAATAATAACCAATAACAACTTAGCAGCAAATCAGCATATTAGAATGATTTCTGAAGGATCATGTGACACTGAAGACTGGAGTAATGATGCTGAAAATTCAGATTTGATCACAGAAATAAATTACATTTTAAAATATATTAATATAGAAAACAGTTATTTGAAATTGTAAAAATATTATGGTTTTATTCTCTATTTTTGATCAAATAAATGCAGCACTGGTGAGCAGAAGAGACTCAAAAAGCATTAGGTTTATTTTAATTATTCCAAACTTTTGACTGGTAGTGAACATGACCAAACTCAACCGCAAAAGGAAATATGAGACGCAGAGGAAACATGTTATCGCAACAATCCCATCACGCCGCATTAACGATACTGCGATGCATCAAGTATCTGAGAAAGTCTGACCGTAACGCTCCATTTGCTCCTGCCGACACTGAAAATCTGACAAGGTTCATGAGAACGACAATATCCTGAAACTCTGGTATGATAGCAATCTGTATTTGTGCGGCTGCTCAAACATATCTCTCTGTTTTGAAGATAACGCTGGCTGTTGCTATGTAAACAACAACACGAGTACAAGCTGGAAAATGCACGTTTGTAATGTGACAAAGCCGGCTCACCTGGGCCGTACGCGCGTGCCTTCTTCGGGTTGAGTTTGGGTTTGAGAGGAGCTCCGGGCTTCAGTTTGGCTTTGGGGAACTGAGACAGATACGTCATGACTGACTGCTCGTCCACACTGGGGTCAATGATCTCCTCTGGAGCGATAACCTGCAAACACAGAATGTATAAGAAGAAATGAAAAAATAAATTTTCACCTGGTTTAATGTGTAGCAAATTCATTTCTGACAACATTTGGCTTGAAGCCTGGGGCTGGTCTACCTGCTTACCCAAACCAGTGTTATTGTAGTATCATTGGTATACTATTACAATTTTTTATAACATTTTGTTTTATTCGTTATATTTTGTTTTTATATTTATATTTTCACTTTAATTTTAGTTGAAGTTTCAAAGAATTGTTTTTTTTAATAATGAAAAATACATTTAAAAAAAAATTATGTATTCATTTCCTTTAGTAATTAATATATAATTAATGTATTAAATATTTTATTTATTCGTTTTAGTTATTTTATTACATTTTATAATGTATTTATTTTTATTTATTAGTTTATTTAAAGTAGTTTTAGTATTTTAGTACTTCAAGTTAAACTAAACACAAATGAGAAATGTTGCCTTGGCAAAAAGCTGGAATAAAAGTTGATTTTATATTTTTAAATTAAAGTTTATATATATATATATATATATTTTATATATTTCAGTTAATTTTTGTTTTATTTAAAGTAACTACATTTTTATGGTAACATTTACTTCAGAACCAGAAATTATTATTATTATTATTATAAATGATTTATTATTATTATTTCAAGTAACTTTATGGTTTTAGCTATAATAACCCTGATCCAAACATTGGAATATTGATATGTATGCGATTCCATAAATTACACTTTTTTTTATACATGCATGTTTGTATAAATGTGTTATATATATATATATTTTATATATCATTTCAGTTCATTTTTGTTTTATTTAAAGTAACTACATTTTTATGGTAACATTTACTTCAGAACCAGAAATTATTATTATTATTATAAATGATTTATTATTATTATTATTATTTCAAGTAACTTTATGGTTTTAGCTATAATAACCCTGATCCAAACATTGGAATATTGATATGTATGCGATTCCATAAATTACACTTTTTTTTATACATGCATGTTTGTATAAATGTGTCTTGTCATACAATACTGGAAATCAAAAACAGTAGCATAAGTGTTCCTGATCAGATTAGAAAAGAGTTTTGCATCATTTCCCATCAAAAGGAAAAAAATAAATAAATCGGAAACACAACTGAAAGTATTTTAGTGTTCACATGAGGCCGGAATATTACAGTAAACCTAAACTGACCTGAGGTCACAAAACTCAAACACAAGAGGACAAAACGAGGCTCTTGACTTTTGGTTCATTCATGGAAGAATGTTCAGTTGCAGGAGTTTTGTGAAAGCACATGCACAGGTAACTGAAGAGGATCAGTGAGGCAGACGTGTGTTTGCTGAGGTGTGTTGAGTATCATATTAACTCTGTGGCAGCTGATACTGATGGATGTGTGTGTGTGCACCTAAAGCACGTCCCTTATTCTTATCTGAGCTTTATATTGATCTGTTAGCATGAACTGAGGGAGAGGGAACATGGCATGTCACACCCTTGTGTGGAAGAGTCAAACAGATTTGTGGCGCCTCTATGCTGCTGAAATCTCATCCTGATGCATTAGAGGTCAAAGGTCACCAGCTCACCTGTGGGATTCCCAGCCAATCATCAGCGAGCTGCATTGCCTCAGTGGCATTTTCCACCGGCTTCGCCTCGTCCCAGATCTCCCAGTCAGGACACAGGCCTGAAAAACACAAATACAGGACAAGATGAACAGTTAGACAGGTTATTAGGGCGTAACTAAGAGGTTGCTAAGGTGTTGTTAAATAATAAAAATAATAATAATCAATTAATCAGATTTATTTATTATCAATACTCAAATTGAGTTGTATATAAAAATAAATACTGAAAATGATAAAAATTAATTTGTTGTTGTGCTCTTACTTTGCCACTTGAACTGAGGCACTACAGCGATCGAGCGTCAAACACATTCATTGCTTAAATTATATTATAAAATTGATATAATCGGAAAGCTCAAACTTTATTTCACATCAAAAGTAAACAAAGCACAAAGTTATTGTGATTATTGGATGTTAATCCTGATGCACAAGCAGTCAAAACTTAGTTAATAATAATAATAATAATAATAAAGCAAAAAAAAAGTACTGAAATTAGTGATAAATTATAGATAATTTTTTTTAAACAAATTAAATCAAAATTAATATAATTCTAAATTTTATATTTATTAATAATTAATACAACTACATAAATTTATAAATAAAATGAATACTTATCAAATAAATTAATACAATTATATGTACAGAAGTAATACATTATATAAAAAAAATAAAATAATAATAAATAAACAATTAAGTACCAAAATGAATCAATGTAAAAAAAAATTAGTAAAAAATTATTATTATATAAATAAGTTAATTATATTTGATAAATATATACAGAATAAAATTAATAAAGTGATCAATATAAATAAATATATAAATTAAATTATAAATAAAGTAGTTGTAAATTATAAATAAATAACGGGGAAAAATGACTACAAATTAATAAAAACTGAATAAAAAAAAAAGAATTATCTGAATTTCACTGTTTAGGGCGAAACCGAAAATTCATTTCAGTCCACTAATGATGGAAGGTATTATTAATAGGCGCACTATAAGTTTTTCTAGAATTATCTATGGATAAAAATTTTTTAAAAACACGTGCACTAAAAAGCTCCTCCACACCAACTGAATTACAAAGAAGGAAATGTTGTAAACACAGCAGAGTTCTGGACTCATTCACAGCTGTGTTTTACGGCTGATCCACCGTATCTAGACAAACACGGAGCAAACGCACACAGCTGTCCAATAAACACAACAACAATAGCTGAACAGCACCCACTGCTCAAGCACAGCTCACCTGGAGCGCAGCTGTCCACCAGAGCTCCCAGCACTCGGCCGTTCCTCCAGTCCTGACTGAAGTTAGTGATGGGGAGGTCAGGCACTTTGTTCTGGATCCAGCCGAGCAGTCTCTGCTTGGGCGTCTGTTTCTTGGCTTCGCCGTCGTCTTCATCCTCCCAGACGGGCATAGAGATGGAGTAATGGAGGATGAGGGTCCACACCAGACCCAGGATCAACTTCAGGTTCCCGTCCACAATCGCTTTGCTGTCTGTTTGGAGCCGGAAAGAAGAGTAAACGACGGTTAAATAATAATAATAATAATAGTTTAGTAAATAAATAACAAGTAAATAAAGCAAGCAAATGAGTACTGAAATAAAGAGAAATAAAAAATTTAAATTAATTATAAGTACATAACTAATATAAAAAAAAATTAATGTAGAAGTGAATAAATAAGCAACCAAAGTACTGAATTTTCAAATGAATAAATGAGCAAATAAGTTTTAAAAAATGAATACAAATTATACATAAAACACAAAAATACATGCATAAATAAAATATATTTATTAAAGGAAATAGATAAATAAACAAGCAAATAAGTAATGAAATAAATAAATCAAATAAACAAGTGACTGAATAAATACTGAATAAGCAAAGCAAATGTGTAATAAAATTAAAAAATGACATAAAATAAATAGGTGAATGTGAATCAATAGAAAGCAAATAATCCATGAAATAAAATGATAAATAAAATAAGTGAATATGAATAGTGAATAAATAAGCAAAGCAAATACATAATGAAATAAAAAAATGATAGATAAATAAATAAAATAAATAGGTGAATGTGTATCAATAGTGAATAAGCCATGAAAAATAAATAAATAAAGTGATTGTAAATAAATAGTGCATAAATAAGTAATGATAAAAATGATAAATATTTATTTTTAAATGTACAATTTTATAATTATATACACATTTTAAAAATATTTATATATATTGTTTTAATTTATACACACACACATATACATATACATATACATATACACATATACATATACATACATACATACATACATACATACATACATACATACATACATACATACATACATACATACATACATACATACATACATACATACATACATACATACATACATACATACATACATACATACATACATACATATATATATATATATACACATATACATATACACATATATATATACATACATACATACATACATATATATATATATATATACATACACACACATATACATATATATAAATAAATAGCAACATTAATACTACACTGACTAAACTAATAAATAGATAAATGTGGTGGAGTATCGCGTTTGTAAATGACTCCGCATTTCATCCACAGCGGGCTGCACAGGATACATTAATCAATCAACATTACACCCATCAGGAATATGATTCACTGCAAACCAATCCCCGACAGCTCTGGCTAATCTTATCATACAACAGGAAATAAAATCATATTAAAAAGGAATGAAAATAGGTAACACTTTACTTGAAGGGGTGTGCATAAGACTGACATGACACATGTCATGAATATGAAAGAGGTTTTATGCATGTTTATGACAACTGTCATTAAGTGTCATTCACCCAGTTGTCATTTTTAATGCAAATATGACATTATTTGACCCAACCCTACCCCTACCCTTACCCATAGCCCATAACAAAGACATCTCAAACAATGTCATCTTTGCATTAAAAATGACATAACTGAGCGAATGACACTTAATGACAGTTGTCATAAACATGCATAAAAAACCTTCATATTCATGACATGTGTCGTGTCAGTCTTATGCACACCCCTTCAAGTAAAGTGTAACCTGAAAATATCTTGCACACTTGCACACATTTAAGATGAAGACTTGTGCTCAGTTCTGGTAATTGAGCACTCAGTAGTGAACACGGAAGATAAAACTGCGTTTAGCACACAAAGCAAATGTTTGCAGAAGGGATCGCAGCGGTTAGCGATTTTTAACACTCCAGACATCATTACACGGTCACGACGAGCCTCTGCCGAACAATCTCACTGCTTCCCGCGGGTTACTGTCATGAACTGTGTGTGTGTGCGCTTGTCCGCTCCCTCAGTGTTCACACTAGCAGTCATCTACTGCAAACATCAGCAATGAAGCTGAACTTTAGCACACAGCCAAAGATCAAGAGCAAATCTGACACGAAATAAAAACTAATCTAGCTTGACTAATACAGTTTGACATTCAGGTTTGATTTATTATTTTGTTTTTTAAATAAAAACTAAGTATCAACCTGAAAATATCTTGCACACTTGCACACATTTAAGATGAAGACTTGCGCTCAGTTCTGGTAATTGAGCACTCAGTAGTGAACACGGAAGATAAAACTGCGTTTAGCACACAAAGCAAATGTTTGCAGAAGGAATCGCAGCGGTTAGTGATTTTTAACACTCCAGACATCATCACACGGTCACGACGAGCCTCTGCCGAACAATCTCACAGCTTCCCGCGGGTTACTGTCATGAACTGTGTGTGTGTGCGCTTGTCACCAAACGCATTCTATATGAGATAAATCAGATATACATCAAATAAACACAATATTACAACGTACAATTGCACAAAAGGCTGCAAACGAACAGCGCGCATCTGAAGTGTCTCTGAAGGAAATAATGCATTATTTATCGGCTTTAGGATATCGGCCAAATTTTCTTATCAGGCCGATACCGATAACAGAAAAAATTAGCATTTATCGGCCGATATCGATATGGTGGCCGATATATCGTGCATCCCTAATTAGTATGAAATTATATGTATTATACGCTGTGAGAAAAAAATAAAAGCTGTAACTGAGGCAGTTTTCAAAAGTACCTTAAAAGGTGCACATTAGTGCAGAAGTCCTAAGAGGCCAGGGATTGTACTGCATGTAAATTGCACCGCCCCAGTGTGTCCGAGTGTGAACTCAGAGCGATGCCGCCGCTGGTACGACGAGGCAGACGGTGGAATGTTCTGGCAGCGTTTGTGAAGCTGGAAATGAGCTCAGTGCCAGATAAGCCTTCAGTGCATTTCTGGACTGAGCATAATTCATTAGCACTGACCCCCCTGTCCCGTCCCGTCCCACCCGCCCGCCTTCACGAGGTTCCCGTTTAATGGGATCTCCATAAGGAGCCCCCTCACCACCGGACGGCCCAACAATACAACAACAAAAAACACTGCTGCCGACTGAGCGCATTCAGAGAACAGCAGAATGAAGGTTACCATGACAGCAGGAGCTTAATCAAACCATTCATGAATTATAGATGAACGGCAGAAAGTTTTGGAAAGTTGCTAAAAACACAAACACACAACAGAGTGCAAACACGATTTTTAAATGCAGTTCATGCTGGACTGAAACTGTGACGTTGAGTGTAAAAATACAGCTTAGACCAGGATACAGACTCTCATACACACATATATATATATATATATATATATATATATACACACATACACACACACACACACACATTACGTACATATACGTGTGTTTGAATGTTTGAAAAAAAAAATATATATTTATTTACTTGAATATATATCTATATAAGTAAATGCATTATTCTAAATACATAAATACATCTAAAATTAATAAAAACATTACTATGAAAATTATATTTAAAAAATATTTATATATTAAACTTTATTATATAGTTGTATATTTCAAATATTAATAAAACATGCAATTATATATAATTTTATAATATACAGTGGGTACGGAAAGTATTCAGACCCCCTTAAATTTTTCACTCTTTGTTATATTGCAGCCATTTGCTAAAATCATTTAAGTTCATTTTTTTGCTGTGACAGACACCAACACATTTGACAATTTATTAGTTGATCCTACAATTCCATTAGTCTCAGAAACACTCATTCCAACTGGATAAACCCAAACAGATGGCCAACAAGCCTGATTACGAAGGTGTCCAAAATGTTGTCCAAACACTGACATAATCCAACTACGAGAATACACACCGATCATCGGCTCGCTACGCCCTGACATGAGTCAGTACTATCAGAGCAAACGTGCACTTACAGTGAAGATACAGAGCTCCACAGACAGAGAAGAGAAGAGAACTTACCAAGATAAACAAGTAAATTAATTAAATTAATATAAAAATCTTAAATAAATATACAGATAGGAAGAGCACCCTCAGATGAAGCTGTAATACCAACATATTGGCGAAACAGATCTGGCAAACTCTCCAGTGTGCATTTGTGTTTGCGCCCCGGAGAGAGTAAAGGCTTTCTAATTACAATGGCTTTTTTTAGAGTCGAATCTACTTCAACCAGCGCTATTTATTATCCGTGTTCTTAAGTATCTCAACACGGTTTGTTTTACTGACAGAGGGGCGCTTCATGATTCAATGAGAGCTGTTTGAACTAACGCCAATCGATTCAGACCCTTTTGCAAATATGTTTAGTATATTTCAATCATATGAAAATATAAGATTATCAGAAGACTTAACATTCCTGCTCAAATTCCTCTTGAATGGATTTGCAAAGTTTGAAGCATTAGCATGGGTCATGACTGACTAAGCAAAGGTTAGAAATGTCCTGAGCTTTATTATTGAGATCTCCTTGGGAACCGGCCTGGAGAAAATCAACAAACGCTTATGAAAGTGAATAAGCATGATGTGAGCAGCTGGAGCCATTACCAGAGCCACCGTCACCAAACATGATGTGATTCTGAAGAGCAAATCAGATTCTCTAGACGGAGAATCAAATTAACTGTGTTTAATCAAACGACTGCATTCATAACAGGCCATAAACACCTTGAGACATGCCATTACTATTTATACTGCTCATTTTCTGATATAAATGTTGACAGGCTTGGAAAGGTTAGAAAAATAAAGGATGTGAATTCTCATGTAAGTCTCATGAGCTGAATCTTACATGCAGCTACTGTTAAAGATTGAAACATCAAGCTAACTAAATTGATCAAAAACGATCACAAGAAAGAGAGTGGAATTTGTGTTTTGAATACAAAGGAAATTAAGAACATTAAAATATTTAACAGTTTTAGCATTATGACATTTTCATGACAATTACATCCCTGATACTCATTACTGTAGTAGTAGTAATAATAATAATAATAATAGGTATTTTATTACTGTATTAATAAATATTTTATTACATTATTATTAATAATATTATCATTATTAATGTTTATTTAAAATATTTGAAATTTTTGCATTACACTTATGAATGATGCTATAATAATAATAGTTTAATAAATACTTTAAATTAATTCTTAAATGATCATAGCATTCAAGTTACGTTTTTTTTGAAGACAGACAAAAAATAATTTATTATACAATAAAAAAATAGCAACAATCATAAGTTTAATGCAAATAAATGTTAAATAATTATTTTAAAGTATTTATAATGCTAATATTATTAAATAATTTTATAAAAATAGTATTATCAATAATAATAATATTTTTTATTTGTATTATTAGTAGTAGTAGTAGTAGTGCCATCATTATTGCAGAAGCATTTTTTTTGTGCTATGTCATGGTAATATATTTGTCACTACCTTTAACTTATGATGCCAACTTAAACATTTTTGTACAAAAAAAACAATGGGAAATGCAAAAGGCAAGTCCACATAATTGTTATGAAAACAATGTCATGATGTTCTGTTGATTTGTGGGATGAAATGTGACCATGTGAGAATTAAAACAAGAATATAGGAGTAGTCTTCCTCATTCTGACTGCCAAACTTAAGAGGGTGAGGACGTAACCCTGCGGCACGCCACACGAAACGAGAAAACAAAGAGGTTAAAGAGAGTTTTACACAGCCGTAACCTTTAGTAAATCATTGCTCCATTATTTCACTCCTTCCTCGGGCTGGCGAGTCTCCCGTGGCTCTGCTTTCATAAGATTAGGTGAGAAAAAGAGGCAGAGGCAGGAGATTTCCTCAGGGCGGGTGTCCTCAACCCACCATTACACCAGAGACACACAGCTTCACCCACAAACCCTCTGATCTCGCTATAGATACAGAAGGAAACAAAACCTGAAGTCTTTTCCAGTCACTTATCAACAGTTAAAACAAGACCTATCAACACGAGGGACCCTGTTAGTCCAGGTCTTTCTGCAGAGCAGCATTCAGAAAGATAAAGGAGACATCTTGGAAAAGCCCTAAATTATTTTCCACCAGCATAAATGGAATTAAGCTTCGATGATCAGATTCAACAGAGCACAGGGAGATTTATGGCTCATTGAGATTTTTCAAAAGAACTGAGAGGAGTTGAAGCTGTCAAAGTTAAGTCTGGCCATCTGACAGCAGGCACACGTGCAAGAAGCCCATCTGGAAATGCGTTTGAGGCGAGTGGAGTAACGCCGAGACTCCACCCGTACCGCCGTCATACAAGATCCACATTACAGCTCTGTTCCCGCAACAGCTCAAACTCGACATTACAAGAGGCTTGGGAAAGGGAAAACTGTCCAGAAAGAGACAGAAAAATTGGTTTGAAGTTGAGGATGAATCGCACAAAACCTGTCCATGTTACAAATTAAAACCTGGAAATAATATTTTGCACGACAAACAAAGCCTATTTTTTTTAAGAGCTTTTCTTTCTTTTTTTTACATTGGTATTGTCAAGCACCCTCTCAATTTTCATAAATGCATAAAAATACATACTATACATTTATTTAAAAAAAAATCAGATTACATTTCATAATTTTTTTTAAATATTTTCTAGACTTTATTTTATATCTTATTTTTACAATTTTACTGTTTTTTATAAAATAAAGAATTTTTTTCTCATTGTAGTATTTAATGCACAATTTTTGCTGTAAAACATTGCGTTTACATTTAGCAGACGCTTTTATCCAAAGCGACTTACAAATGAGAACAATAAAAGCAGTCAAAACTAACAAAAGAGCAACAATATATAAGTGCAAATGACAAGTCTCGGTTAGCCTAACACAGTACACGTAGCAAGGTGTGTGTGTGAGATGTATGTATGCATGTATGTATATATGTATATATGTATATATATATATATAAATACACACACAAACATAGTAGAAAAACAAGTAGATAGAATAGAAAAAATAAAAAGCTACGTTTTTTTTATAAAAAAAGATAAATATAAAGTAGAATTAAAATAGAATAGAAAGTGCTAGAGTTAGAGGGTCAAATAAAGGTGGAACAGATGTGTTTTTAGTCATTTCTTGAAGATGGGTAAGGACTCAGCTGCTCGGCAGGTCATTCCACCAGGAGGGAACAGTTA